CTGTTATTCGTATCGATACTAAAGTGTGTTGCGTGTATATGTACGTACATTAGGGCGGGTTGATTTTTTTTTTTAAATCGTATAGCAAAAACGTAAACTACATAAAATTCTAAGAAAATTCTCCGAAGAAACCATGTATCTAAAACAAAATTCTAATCCGCGCCTCTCGACTTGAAAATTTATATGGCCGCCTTTGCCAAAAAAATAAATGTCAGAAAAAATAGGTTTATCCAAAAAGAAATCGAATTTTCTGAATAAAATTGTTTAGTAAGGTAGTTCTTTTGCACTTTATATTTTTTCTACACTCAAAATTTTTTTAAAAAAGTTTGTATATAATTTTTTTTTGCTTTTTTGATAATTGAATATTTTGATTAGTCTCAAAACAAAACCTGTATTGCATAAACTATAATATAATATAATAAAACATAATATATTTCAAAAAAAGAAAATAATTTTAGCGAAAGAAGAGGAAAAAAATTTTCAAGTCGAGAGGCGCGGATTAGGGTTTGATTTTAGACCCATGGTTTCTTCAGAAATTTTTCTTAGAATTTAATGTAGATTACGTTTTTGCTATACGATTTTTAATTTTTTCTTATCCATACAAATCAACCCGCCCTAACGTACATGCATGCATATGTACGAACGAACATTTCCTTACGCTGCAAGATTCGTTGTGATGATTCGTGTGAGTTTCAAGTGCTTGTATCAAAAGTAACGAGTAAAGTAACGATATGAAAGATACGGGTGTTGATTGGATTAGTAACGAATACATACGGGTATCCAAATTTTCGTTACTTTTACAGCTCTATTGGCAAGTTATGCAAATTTGTTACGTTCGATGATAAAATGTAGAAAGGTAAATAAAGAAATTGCATGTATTTTTTACATCGTTAGAGTGGTAGCATGCTATTTGTCATAACAGCTCTCTCTTATAAGAACCAAAGATATCGTACTCTAACTCAAGGAGGCCAACTCGCGGGGAATTTCCGGATTTGCGGGGAATTTCAGTTTGCGTGGGGAATCGGAGAATGGACCTTTTTTTGTGTGGAATTTCAACCAACGTGGGGATGAACGGTTTTTTTTTGTGAGAAATTAGGTGTTTTCAATTTTTTTCTTTTTGCTTCACTAATTTCATAATGAACTAAAAAAGTTGCATAAGAAATAAAACTGCAACTAAAATTACTGATTATGCCACTCTGCAAATTATGTAAATTTTTAGAATTTTCTTTGTTGCATTTGCCTTCCTATAACGGATGAAACATTTTATTTCTATATGGAAGAAAACCGCAACCAACACATTCAGCCAGTGATGCCAGATGCTGAGATTTCGCCCAATTTTGGGGATTTCTGAAACCATTTGGGGATAGATTTTTTCGTTTCGGGATGTGGGGATTTGATGGGGATTTTTGATTGGTTTAAAATATTCATATTGAAATTAAAATACATATATGTATTTTACTGCCTGCCCTTAAAAATTTCTCAAACAAAGATTTTCTTTGTCAAAGCATTATTCGTGGCAAATGCCTGTTTTGATTGGCTTTCGCTGAACACACAATTTTCTCTCACTTCATTACACCAAATTGTAAAAGGATCGCTTTGATTGGCATTCACCGAATGGACTGCATATAATTCTGATTTCCTTAGAAATCCTTAGGCCGAAGGTATGTTGTTAAATAATCTCCAAAAACCATAAAAAATAAGAAACCGATATACCTAAATAACCAAATGATCTCATATATATGTACACATATACATCTGTGAAAATTTGTAATAGAAAAGTATTAAAAACTGTAATTAAAATGAACTAACAGAAATGAGAATACATATTTTTTTATTTCTTACTTAAGGGGATTTAAATGGGGATTTAGAAGGGGAAATGGGGATTTTTTGGGGATAGCGGCTCGATATGGGGATGCGATACACAAAAATTCTGGCAACACTGCATTCAGCAAACAAAATTCTAAAAGGAACTTGGAACTTGCACTTTATTATACTGGAACTGAGTGGGCTACAAAACAGCATACGCAAATTCGTTCTAGGAAATCTAATTAAAAAAGCTCGAAATTTGTACGAAAGTTTGTTGAATTTTTTTTTTGATAATGCACAAAGTTTGAAACTTGGATTTATACGGTTTTTATTAGAGAATGAACTATTTTTTCATAAAAAAAATAACTCAAATAAAATTACAAAAAAAAAAAATAGTAAAGATTTTGAAAACTTGTAAAAATTAGGTGCGACTAAAATTTTTCGACCACTGTATGTATGTAAATGTTATACGAACATCTTTTATTCTTTATTTGATAACTAACTTTATCAAAGCCTGGTTTGATTTATGTAGATAAATTGCATTTAAAAATAAAATACGCAGAAAGGCCAGCAATATATATAAAAAAAAATATTTTTGTTTTTTTAATAAGGAGATATCTATGGGTGGGGAATGTTACGAAACTTCGGGCAATATCGGAGAATTTCATAGTCGAAATCGGGGAATTCTCAAAAATTAGTTGGCTAGGGTAGCCTCTAACCGCCCAAAAACGTAAGTGACATATTTCAGAATTTTATTCAAAAACGCGCTATCTCAGAATTTAGTTGAAAACGCCTTATCTCAGCTGAAAGTACATTGAAAATGTGCTGCGATAGGGCGTTTTTGAGATAGCGCATTTTTCAATCAAATTCTAGAATAGGGCGTTGTTGTAAAATTTTCCGAGATAGGGCGTTTTCGAACTGGCTCAGCCCTCGATATACTTTCAAGTATTCAACTACTCGCGTTTAAGCAAATCCTGCCATGCCTAGTATGCATGCTAAATGTTCACAATACTTCACTCACAGTCATTAGCACACCTTTCTCTAAATTTCACGTTTCAGTTGTTTTACGTCAAGTATTTTTGAGTTCTAGTCAAAAACTTATTTTCATATATGAGAACAAAAATTTATTTGTATACATATTCTACTTCACATTTCCTTTTTGTAACACCTCCATATGTCCGCCAAGCCAAGGTAAGTAAAAAGTCAATATATCGGTCATTAACTTGGCGATTTTTCCGACTTTTTCTGCAGAAAACAAACTGGCAGTTTTGTCAATGATCCCTCCGCCATCAATCTCATACAACTCAGTCCACGCACTGAATTGTTTCCGAATGAACGCAGCCCATATACCATGGCGAATCACAGTTCCAAAACCAACTTCATCGGTGATTCGTAAGCAAAGCACACAACTTAAAAAAAAATTAGGTTTCTCCTATTTCAATAATTTATTTTCTATTAGCGTTATGCCAGAAGGTCCGCGTGCGGTTGCGGTAAGCGAAACAGGCGAGAAGCATTCGATTCACCTGGAAGAGGATAATATGACATCAAATTTGAATCCCTTTGCTGTATCATTACAAGGTTCGCAAGTTTTCACAATGCCTATGAACACCGCTTCCTCAGCGAAATTGTCTGGTTGTGGAAACGATTCTAACAGACTCATCACTACAAAGCGATCCAAAGTAAGGTTTGAAATGAAAAGTAAAACACACTTGAATACTAATTTGCACGCCACTATTCTCCTGTTTAGGTTTCTCGTCGTCATTCTAACCAGAAGACTCGACCAATTTTTACACCACGCAACATAGAGAAAATTCCATCGCGTTTCTTCAACGACGAGGCGACGAAAGCCAAAACCGTGTCGCCACAAACGAATGCGCAAACCCAAACAGAAGTACACACCAGTAGTTCCGCCCTAGCGCCACGCCCATATCAACCGCCACCGTTGGTGCCTCCGCTCCAGATCCCACGTCGTTATGTGCCTCGAGAAACAGTCGGCGATACGTTGGACAGTTCACGCCGCCAACCATTGAGAGTATTGCCGCGTGAGAAGAAACCTTTTAAAAACTATTCGGGTATGCTTAGATGCGATTTTCATACGATTTAGTGTTTTTACAAATCATTTATTTTTTTTATTATAGAGTTGCGCAACATTGCATCTGCACTCACGCTGATTACTGTCGTTTCGTGGCTTTTTTCGATCTTTTTCGAATTGGAGGGCATGTTTGATATCGTGGGTGCTATAATACGTCTGCTGACCAACTGGTATAACAAAGAAGAACCACAAATGACGAGAATGGAATTGTTTGTGCAGTTTGCGCGGAATTTATGGTAGCAAATATTTGATCGGATGATTGTAGGTCGCGGCGGGTGCGATTTATTATTTATTTCGATTTTTTGAAATTTACAAACGAAATGTTAATACACGTCCTTTTTTAGAAATCCGCTATAGCATCGAAATGAGATTTTTCTACAACTTATATAGACAAATCCCGCCAATCCTATGTGTGGTGTCAAGTGAGGATAACTTCAATACAATCTACGGTGTGCCTATTCTCGATACTCTACGAACATCCAAGAACATTTTATTTTAGTAAAGAGAACTTCTAGATATTATTTGTAAAGCTGCCATATCAAGCTGAAGCTATCCGAATATTTTTATTTAGCTCTAAAACCGTTAAAAATCAAAAAAACTTCGCCAATTGCATCTCCTCTCTTTCTCATACCGAATGCAGACAGATCATTCTGCACTTGGTGCTTCCATGATGTGGCCTTCCTTTCATTGTCCAGCTATGGGTGCCGAGTCGCAATAGTTGTATTTTTATGCCCTTAACTATATTCATGTCGTGAAAAAGCTCTCAGAGTCCATCATGGCATCATCTTCAATACTCGTCGCCCACGTAAACAGGGCCATAGATCTTGCGTAGAATAGTTTTCTCGAAAGTCCCAAAAGCCTTCTCATCTTGGTTCGACATCGCCCACGTTTCTACGGCATGTAAAGGACGAGCATGATGAGAGACATGTAATTTTTGTTCGTCGAGAGAGGACTTTCAATTCAATTTCTGACCCAACCCAAAGTAGCACCCGGCCGACGATGTCGATATCATCTGCATACGCCAGCAGGGTCATTATTATGTAATATACTGTGTGACTGCTATTCAGATTGGCAGATATTATTATTGTCTAAAACCTCGTTTGGTCTTCAATAGCGCGGAGAGGTCCTTCCCAATTGGGCTTAAGCTTATCCGAATAGCTTACCCTTTTTCTTACTCCAACTGCCCGGGAACGTATTAAAAACGGAACACGCTTCACGTTATTAAGTGCTTTTTTTTTAGTTATTTAGCGCCTGTATATTATATTTTTAGCTTGTAGGCCTCGGAGTTTTTTTTTTCGGGGAATGATAAATTACAAAGTAAGAGTGGAAGAGAAAAAATTACTTCATTTCCTTCCAATTCTAGAATATTCCCCATAAGCGCCAGCTCAGAGTTTTTGTCTCTTCGGCAGTCTCATACATCCATCCATATAAGACCCCTCATAAAAGGATGTTGCTACCGATATCGGATAAGCTTGAGTTTACCATTTTTTTCATGGCAGTTTTGGCAATCTTCTTACTTCCCGATGCCACTAGAGTTTGACAATTACAGCCTTATTATGTATCTCGAACGATAGCCCGTACGAACCATTTGTAAAGACTTTTAACTAGCGCAAGTACAATTACGCAAAATATGCACGAATTCCACAGCATCACTTTTTCTTGTCCGCTTGACGTGAAATGCCCCTTAGGTATGCAAGAATGCCAGCTCTTCCTCTATGTTGGGGGGAAAAAAGCTCTATCGATTAACAGTTGCAAACTAGAAGAAATGGTGTCCTCATTTTTACAATGGAAGCGTATTTAAATTGAAAACTTCAAAGCAGGGACCAAGAGCAAAAGGTATAATCGAATCTAAATGTCGTTCTCATAGTTTTGTTCCCAAGAACGCTTAAAAACCCATACTGAAATGAGAACAAAACCTCCGGGAGTGTTTTAACAATAACGCAAGTGAGAACAAAACTGTCGAGAACATTCGTAAGGAGAATTATTTAACAACAAAACCCTGTGGAACGTTCCCAAGGAGAACAAAATGCGAACATTACTTTCGGGAACATTTTTTAGGTAAAATGGGAACAAAAGTCTACGGTGCGTTCTGGAAAAGAACAAAACGGGACCTATCTGAGAGAGAACGAAAAGGAAACAAATCTTCTCAGAATAATAAGCGGAAGCGAATAAAAACTTTTGCTCATAGCGTTACATTAGTTTCAATATTAAAATTAATCAAAAAAGAACTGAAGATAATTACATATCTATGCAAATTAAGTCAACAAAAGACTTAAGAAGCGAACTTTTATTGCTCAGAAAATAAAAGCTTCCTCCATAAATGGACAGTTAACCATAACAATAAACGACCTGAAAGTTGAAATGATCCAGCTTTTCTCTGGATTAAAATTAACAATCATGGTTCTCACTGAAACGATTTTTCATCCTAACATAGACACACCTCTCTCATTCTTAGCGTTAAGTTCTCAAAACTTGTCTTCTCTTTTTGTTCGCTAGCAGAACGTTCCCCAAACCTTTGTTTTTATTTTATCCTCCTTTAAAACGTTCTCGTTCTCATTCTGCTCTTAATGAGAACGTTCTGGAGGGTTTTGGTTCGTTTTGAGAATATTCCCGAGTTTTGTTCGCATTTTGTTCTTTATGGAAACGTTTTCCAACCATTTGTTTCCGTTCAAATTGCGCCCAATACTTTTGTTCCCGTTTGGTTTTTTGCAGTAACGTTCTTGACATACATTTTGCTGTCGTGCAGAACTAAACCAAAATCGGAGCGCATTCTATGTACCTGCTTTAAAGCAGACTTTTTGATTTTTTTAGTTCATGACACCCTTGCAGCAAAAGTACGATATCTATGTATGTGTATTAAGGTACATAGTCATATTAGTAATCGATACGTCTCTTATATGATTTAAGTAAATTGATGCTGGTAATAATTAAAATTGCAATCAATTATGGGGAACTAAAAACGGTTACCCGACTGCTCTATAAACCCACAATCAGCGTATGCACTCGGACATACAAACAGGTGTATGTATATGCATGCACATACTATATACATACCAATCTGTTACGATAATTGTGTAAAAGTACCCGTACTAGATGTACATATGTTTGCCTCGGTTTGACCCATACAGGTTTCCATCAATTAAGTAACATCAGTGACGGCAATTGCCGACGGACGGAAGCTCAATTATAGCAACTGCGACATTTGTCATGTGTTCTATAGACCGGCTGCAGTTGAAGAACGATAGACTAGCGATGACAGGGGAAGCGCGAGCTCCAATGTGAACGACCAAACAACGAATCTGCCGAACAAAACAAAGGAAGAAATGTGGAGAGTGGAAAATAGATGCAATAGTTATGTGCACAGTAGAAATGCAAAATTAAATTTTTAATAGCCATAGCAACAGGCATGTGGAAGCAACGAATATCCGGCGATAATGTTGGTCACTCGCTCTTCCCGGATTACCGCAAATACCCACCGCCATCGGCCGGCAAAAGATCGGCATCGCGCCGGTAATTGTTGGCGGAAGTGTGCGATCAAAACACTGCACAATGAGAGGTAAAGCAGCAAAATGCAAAAAAACAAAAAAAAAAAAAAAGAAAATGCATAGAAGCGACAATAGGAAAGAACAATGAAAATTGAAAAACAATACTGGCTCAGCGGATAGCGGATGAGCGAGCTGAAATTGATGAGTACTA